CCCGTATGCATTTCATTCTCAGCAATAGCCTCCCCGGAGTATACGACACATCTGCTGTCTTTAACATCAATCGCTTCATTCTCGGATGTAGAAGACTCGAAACAACTTCAGAAGAAATCACGACGAAAATTTTAACAATATTATGCAATAACAACAAGGTACGAAAACAACGAGTGAACACAACGAATCCAAAAAAACCAATTGATATGACACACCACACATATATACAAACAGTACACACAAACTCGGGGATCATGTCTTGATGGAATTCCTTTGAAGAATTGCAGGACTCACACCAGTACGCCTACAACCCTTCACAGGTTGACGATTGTAAGTTGTGGAATGTCCGGACACAAACAAGATTAACCAACGATTACAATAATTGGAACCCACACAATTATTTAACACAAACATATGTACAATCAACACATCAAATATTGTGGATTCTGGCTTGACTAACTCCCCTTGTAGAACTATAGGACTTACAGTAGTACGCCTACATACGCCTACTTACAGCACTGGATAGCTCTTAAAGCAACTATAGTGCAGTACCTCATCAAATACATCAATTTGAATTCACCACTTAATCAAAATCTACTCAGCATTATGTCAAACTCCTTTACAAATTGTAAATAATCAGCCGGGTTTCCATCGAAACACCGTGGTTCAAATTTAGGGAGCTTGATGTTCCTATTATCCCCGAACGGCGAAACAGTAACATCAACCATGTCATGCTTAACATCAGACACATCGTTACAAGTAACAGACAAGTCAACTTGACTTACTTTCCTGTTTGCATCCAAGACGCTCTGTCTCTTCTTTGACCCAGGCATTGTTGAACTTGACCCAATTCCAAAAACGTTCCAAATATTGCTTGTTCAAAGAGGACTTGACCGGCACCAGGAAAGATGAACGGTGACTATCCAAACTGTCACCAACTGTCCGAAACCGTCAAAAACTGACACCTAACAGTCAGAAACTGTCAGCCATGTCTCGTAAACCGTTAATGCTCAGCTCTTGCTACGCTCGGGCTCACGCCGTTCCTTGAAGTTTTTCAGAAACGCTTAGTAATAACGGACGCAAAAACCAAAACACCGACTTGCGACTCGAGAATTATTTATTGTAACACCAACATATAATCAATGTTACAACTAAGCTTTACAACTAAGGTCTATGAACAATTAATACAATAATAAATCACAATATTAGTCAAATGAACTGTAGTCAAGATTTAACAGAATAGTTCTAAAATATTTGGGCGCCGAGTGAGAAGCAGACATTTGTAAAAAATTATATTTGTAAAATCTCAGCGATATTTAAATGAGTAATGAGGAATTACTCATTTAAATATCGCTGAGATTTTACAAATATAATTTTTTACAAATCACAATATTACTTCTGACGGTTGTCTCCTGACTTCTCTCTGAACAGCGACCGATGAGACGATGACTGTCGTATTGATGCCTCCGCGAAAATTGGGGAAGTTGGTTTTTATCAAACGGCAATGAATTGATCGTTCAATCTTCAACTACACTGGCACCATATCTTAGCATTTCTTTGGCTACCTGGGCTGGTTTTCCTGTCTCGTACATTTCACATCCTGATTTCCATTTTCGATTTCATAGCAAGAATTATAATCTGCCGGTAGACTGTTTTCATGAAGGCTTTCACAAGCACGCGTCATTTCGTCTCTCCGATTCGAGAGAAGAATAAGTTTGTTACTTGAAGGCTTTGTATTTATAAAATATTTTATGTGAGTTGAATTTTCTCTCCTAATTCGACAGGTTAAGTGGTGAGGGACTGCTAACACCAAGCCTTTCCTTCCGTATTTACCCGGGCTTGGGAACGGCTAGAAAAACAACAAGGTAGCAAATTAGGCGAGATCACCATAGGGGATGAACTACTGTTAATGATTTTCCTTGGGCAGCCTGTCGACGGCTCAAATTTTGAGTGCCCACGAATGAGATAAACGAGTGATTTACTCGCTTGTGATTGACCAGCTTGTCTTATCAAGTTGAGGTAATTTCAAACATCATTTAACTGCTTGACTAAGTTCTGAATTTCCAAGTCGGATAGATAACTGACAACACAAACTATTACGGCTCAGGAGAAAAATGATATACCATTGGATTTAGTTGCTGAATTCTACGAATTCATGTCATATCAAGATGTAAGGACTTCTCAGGAGTGTCAAGAATGCAAACAATGTTCTGAAGATGTAATAACTTTAAGCAACCTAAATTATCGCTTGACCATTATTTTCACAGATCCTTAAATAAGTATAATATATACAGTGGTCTGGTTAATCATGATAAAAAACGGTATGGTTGATGGAGCAAATAGGTATACCAATGTATATGTAGATACACCTAGATATACTGTGTTCTTGTCACGAAGATTGGAAAGCAGGTATCAAATGTCTCATTAGGCAGTGTAATACATGTAGGCTACATGTCTTTATTTGACATAAACTGGATCTCCACTCACTTTCAGAATTAATCTTGAGTTCATTTGGAATAAGCTAGTTGAGTACGTCAGCAGTGAAAGAATACTGTGAAAGTAATTAAACATATGCTTCTTAAGATTAAGTGATACATTTATTTGATATGATTGTATTATTATCAGTTGTCTATCTAAGTTAATGATGAATTCGTTGCGATAATAATACCTATTATTGTTTTTATAGTCACTATGAACATGAACATTATTATTATTGCTGTCAAGATTCTTATTATTTGTCATGCAGCCGTTGACATCTTTGCAAAAATCTTTGTACAAGCCTTGGAAATTAATGCATAACTTGTCGTTAAATAATTTTATCATTTCATGATGTTTCGATGGACCTACTAGATATCAACTAACGATAAATTGCGAAGTCCCTTAAGTTGAGTGAAAACTATTGGGCTACATATATATATATTGTCTGTAAAGTAATTACTCGTACATGCTTATCGAGAAAAATTTTTATTCAGATCATACGTGTAATACCCAAGTTAATAATCCTTTTTTTAAACATTTTCGGACTTATCGAAAAACATATATGTGCCGTGTACGCAGATGGAACCTACTGGTGGTAACAGAGGACTACTCATCTGAATTATCTATACATTTGAAATCTAATTTTTGTTTAATAAACAATTTTTCAATGAATCTGTGTTCCTTCTATTGTAATGCGATTGTGTTCCATAACATAAGTAGCACGTGCTAAGTTAGGAATTGAGGGTTAACTGTTAGGAGTAGATGCGGCGGCTGGAAAATTTTGTTTGCGTGATTATATGAACAGAAAGTGACGTATCGTGTTCTTTGGCTGAGAACCGTAGGCATTCTGTTTTTAATTATTACGATAACCGCAGTTGCACTGAGTTACACATCTAACAGTATAGGTATGGTCTATCACAAGCACACTATCTTAGGTAGATTTATTTTCACTTTGTAACTATGAATCGCGAATCAGTTTGTGTATTCTACTAGGATGACAGATAACTTGAAATGCTTTATAATCGCAGTACCTCCTCTACGATTGGGACATATTTACTTTATTTGACTACAACATAATTTTTTTACAAACAGGCTTCTCCGAATATCTGGTCCTACTTAGTATTTCAAAGATAGCCACACATACTCTATACCTCACTAATTATTCAAGGGCTAATATTCGGTCTTATCAAGTAGAATATACAAGCGAATAACGAGGAATAGATTTGTTAATGAATTAACATTTGATACAAAATCAATGACACTGCGGAAATCTTCTTTGGCACCCAACTACATGAAATCCCCGAAAGTAGCCATCGCCTGAAAAAAATTAAGCAATCAAAAGATGTAGACATTGTTACCGTTATAAATACAAAATTTAAGTGATAGAAAATACTAAATAATGCATTAAATTGTGTATGCTTACGTCATTCAATATTTTTTAAGCAGATAAAATGGAGATTGCATCTGCCTGTAAAAGCCAAATCTGTGAAGTATAAGAAATAAATAACATGTGGGAATAGTTCCTGAGTGTTTATGTAGATTTCCTTTAAATAAAGACTCGCGAAGGACCTTTGAAACCAACGCCTAAGATACTTTAACGGCTGACGGGATAGACGTTCGTGAACAGTACTGAGTATACTAACGCAAGATCTTATACCAACAACTTTCAACTCATTTGATTCTCGTATACCAAAGGCAAAGCAAAAGACCACAATTGATTGTCCAAATTACGAGATATATTTCGGAACCAAATCGAGGATTGAAGCGAAAGCTAAGCTGGCTAGTTATCATGCACGAAAGTGACACGACGGAGTACCAAATGGCGGGGATGCTTGACGGAAGCCTTCAGCTAAACAAGTCGACTTAAACTCTAAGGGCCAGCATCAAATGTTCACTGATGATTCTTATGGTCACGATGTAATTCTTCTCTTAGACATGATCTATTCCTATGGTCAATAATTTTGGGGAATTATTTACCGCTACAGTACACAGCGAAGTGTAAATGACTAACAAAACTAACTATTCTCTGTGATCCTGTCTATGTATAATCCTTTGAACTGCAGAAAACATGATTACAAGTCATTGTAACATGCGTCTTCAAGTAATTTGACATTTTTTGGACGAAAAAGTACGTATATGAACAATTTGTAAATTTGCGATAAATTACGGCCGGATAAGGACATCATCATTTGCTGTTTATTCAGAAAACATGGTATTCCATCAACTTTTAGCAGGAATACAAGTGTAAAAGTGTGTAAAATAACTAAAAATCATCTAACTTTTGAGGTTTTTTCAATAAATAAAGGCAGTATTCACCAGCCGTATACAGCCTGCCTTTTCCTTGTGTATTTCGAAAGTAACTTATGCAGGGAGAAAAGTAGAGTTGGATCAAAGGGGATATTTTAATGCCGAGAACTTAACTCATATGTTATGAACACCTTTTTAAAATACAGCCATTGGATATTGAGAGTTATGAAATTGACCCGACCTGCGGTATATTCGAAAAATTAATCTTCATTTGAATGCGTGTGTTTCAGGTACTTGCTGTATGCATTTTTCTCTTCAGTGTCAGCAATAAAGCACTAGTATGACTATAAGTGTAATAGGAATAAGCCATTTAAGGTACTACTGCTCCTGAAAAAATATCTTCGCTTGTTCTATGGGTAATATTTGAGACTTCGGAGTAAGTGCTGAATTTTCGCTACATATCCTCACTTGTTTCACATTGTCTTGCTCTAAAGTTATCCTAAGGTGTTTTATTCGAGTTGACTCCAATTAATTTTGGTGACCAGCTCCTAGTTGGGATATGTACGCCAAAACTTCACACCAGATCGAAAGAAGAATTGTAGGAAGCACATACTTGGAATGTAAAAGCTCGCAACCATTTGATACTCTAACAAATTCGGGAGTCTCAATTTTTGGTATGGTGCTGTTGTACATACTCATTTGCATAAGTAAAGCTAGCAAAATTTGCAGGAACAGCCTAAAATGGTAGTTCGCGAGGTTTCCCAACCGGGGCATTGTGCTTAATATGGCTCTTTCGCACGATATATAACTGTTCTAGCAACTATATGTCTAATACACTGTGCAGTATGCCTTACAAAGGATGTTGTTGCCAGTCCTTGTTCCCAGGAAGGACCAAACAATTTACAATTGCGCCGGCTTAGAAGTGTATATATATATGTAAGATGGCTCTGCAAGGCTGGTCTTCAGCGCCTCCTTAATAAAGACAGTGTGATTTCCCTTTATGTCATAAATGATTTGTGTGGCAGTTAATACAGGACCTGTAAGCCCACGGTGATCACTCATCCGAAGACAAAGTGCGTTGGGAGAGAATGTGTATTCAGAAGTGTGTGAACTATTACACAACATAATAGCATAATAACCGTGTGATTTAAAAAGCTCGAATCAATGGATAGACTAAGTATTGATCCTTATACTAAAAGTAGTTGAACTTGTTGATCTCTTCACTGCCCTGGTAGACCGATTGTGGATGAAATCTTAGCATGAATACTGAGGTCACATTGCGGTTCCTCCCAACTAACAATCTTTGGAGATGTCGTATCCGCTACTAGCCAAATGACTTATGTACTGCGCAGCAGTTCTGTCTTCCTTTATGGCATGAGACACGACCGTTAAAAGTGATTTCAGCTGTATGCGACCACATATGTCCGTGTTTCATCTCCCGTGCTAATTGGCTTATGATGAGTAATATTAAGGTTGTTTGGGGTTGTTAGGTAAAAAAGGTAAGGCAAACGGGGTTGTAAAGTTTCATCGACTGAAGTTACTGGGATGTCATGTGCACGCCCAGAAACTACCTTCCTCGACGAGCAATGTTAGTTAACAAAGGATTAGGTTAAAAAAGAGTTAGGGGTGGCCAAACCACAAACAGTCATCAACCCATGAGTGCTTTTACAGTTGATTTGAGAGGTGTAGACTACCTTGTTGAGGACATCAGGGTGCTAAGAACCAGTGATATGACTGTTGGGTACACCAATCGATGGCGCAGGTGCATTCACTCTTTGTAATATCATAGATCCATCACATTTGTGTACTTTAGGAATGACGCTTAGGAGGGCTTAGACCTATCACATCCGGCATATGTCTACTCATTATAATTCTTTTCAATCTTTTTTCTGTATCTTTGTGTGTTACAAGCAGTATAGCAACTTGAAATGCTGTACTTCTGTGCAAAGTCCTATGGTTGAGCTTGGTCATTCAAAGTTGTTGTATAATTTGAAACAATTTCATTCTGACATGTAGCTTAACTAGTAATTTTTGTTGAGTTCTATGGCCTCCTTGTTTGCGGGGTTATCATTATAAGATTCAGAAGCTGGAATTCAAATCTTTACGTGGAATAGTCAGTGACTGGAGTGCATCTCTGTGACGCGTCAGCGACTCGTCACTGGACGCTTTCAAGACTGAAATGGATATCTGCAGAGATTTCTACTCTAAGGATTAACCAAGGCTACTACTACTCAATTCGTCAACACGTCATAATGACTGACATAGTTGTGTCATCAATCATATGGTCATAGAACGCTATTCGAATAATATAAAGGGGGCAAATGTAGAACATAGAATTGATTAAAATCAAGTCGAAGTATTAGAGTATTATTATTATTATTATTATGGTTCAGCGCTAGGGTAACCGCTAAGGAATGCTTGTTTTGCCTAGGAACAATGAGAACTTATCACATCTAATTGAAAGATGGAAGTATCATATTGTTCGTCAGGAAATTTCATCCTGTTTTCGGTATCCGCTGAATAGACCTGTTTTGTCTCTTCTCGAGAAATACCAAGACTAACGCCATCTATGAGTAGAAAGTTGCAAGAATCCAGAGGTAGTGTACATAATAGCTTTTTAAATGGTAGGCAGGCGTGACGGGAAAAGTTAGATATAGATAAGCAGAAAAGTGGCACACGCCCATTAGCAGAGTTGGTTTTCGGCTACGTAAAAGCTGGTGACTTAAGACTTTGTGTGGCTGAAACGAAGTGTTTCGCTTTCTTTATGTGACAGCCTAATACAATTCTCAAAGGTGCATTGTTTTCACTGATCACCATTACTTAGATGATCTACCTCATGATTGTTTCGTGTCTTTGGTATGACAACAGGTGCTGATGCTCTTATATCCAGTATTCCACTTTGGTTTTTCTGTCTGGAGAGCATTGTCTGTCTGTTTTCAACATAGAACTTTTCACAAATGTGCGGCAGTCCAAGTCGCCACACCGTGTAGCATGCGAAGAAAGAGAAGAAAGTACAAGAAAAGCATAATAGAGACAGTAAGCAGAGGTGTGAGACAAAGGAGTAATAACGAAGAACAAATTGGAAATCATAAGTCACAAGGAGTGGATGCCTCTGCGCTACTGAGAACGATTTTGAGCCATGTCACCAATTATTTCCAACCATAGAGTTTTACCGTCCCGAGGACCCCAGCCAGGAAGTCTACACCTTCCTACGTGGCTTAAACTAACTGTTGTAGATTTCATTGACTGGTGCCATGTTTTTGTTTGACCTTCGCTAGCTTTTTTCCAGCCTGACCCTACATCCGCTAACATTGCTCGTCGAGGAAGGCGATGACCAGGCATACGTAACACATGTCCTAACCATCTGAGTCTGTGTAACTTCACGACTTCGTCTATTGATTTCCCCTGTTTACCTAGAACTCGATGCCTAACCTCAATATTGCACACCTTATTATGCCACTTTACACGGGAAATAGAGCGCAGACACCTATGATCAAAGACAGCTAATCTTTTCATGTCTTCCACTCTCAGTGGCCAGGTCTCACAGCCATAAAGGAGGACGTAGCGGACTGATGAGCAGTACACCCGCCCTTTGGTCGATAGTCGAACATCTCGTCTACGGCAGAGTCGGCGTAAACTGGCAAATGCGAAACGAGCCCCTTGTATCCGTGCTGAGATTTCGTCAGAGATCAACCCGTTGGCGTTGGCTGATGGTACTTCCCAAATAAGTGAAGCGGTCAACGTGCTCTACCACTTCACTTCCTATTTTTAAACTAGGCGTCGATGTAGTCCAGTCCTGTAACATCATCTTGCATTTGGCGGGAGCGAATCGCATGCCAAACATTCGTAGATTGCGGCTCAAGGTGTTTAGAAGACTCTGCATTTTGTCAGAGTCGTCGCCTAGGAGGACTATATCGTCTGCATATTCCAAGTCAACGAGATTATTCCCTGATAGCAAGTCAATCCCTGAGTCGCTAAAGTCACTTAGGGTTAATTCCATTAGTACATATATGATGAAGTTGAATAGAAATGGGGATAATGGGCATCCTTGACGGACACCACTAGTCGTCACCAGTTCAAATGACAACTCGCCGTAAGCCCTCACCTGGCTGTATGAGTACGAGTAGAGTGCCTTAATCAGTGAAATGTATTTCCGCGGCATTCCCTTTACAGCCAAGCATCTCCAGAGAACCTCTTGGTCGACAGAATGGAATGCCGCCTTTAGGTCAAGAAATATAACGATTGTTGGACGCCGGTAGGAATGCTTGTGTTCTGGAATCTGTCAGAGGGTGAAGATATGATCAATACACCCTCTTCCTGGCCTAAAGCCTGCCTGGCTCTCTCGTGTTTGTGCCTCTCGAGCACCACTTAGTCTACGCATGATTATTGAGCCTAAGACTTTAGATACTATATTAGTCAAGCTAATCCCTCTGTGATTATCACAGGAAGACTTGTCTCCCTTCTTGTATATGGGAATAATCAGTGACTTACACCAACCCAATGGGACTTCTTCTGATTCCCAGACGCTGCCTAGAACCTTAGTTAATGCAGACAGTAAACTGTCACCACCGTACTTAAATACCTCTGGAGTCATTCCATCAGGTCCCGCTGCTTTGCCTAGTTTCATATTGGTGACAGCTTTAGTAACCTCAGTTAGGCATGGAGGACCTGTGTCTATATCTCATTCAGGGAGGTGTTGGATATTCGGAAGGTTGAGCGTGGCTGTGGGCCAATTAAACTGCTCCTCATAATGCTCTTTCCAACGATCCAGTTGTCTATCCTGTGAGCTAATTATAGTGCCATTTTTTTCCGAGATTGTTTCACTAATGATTTGTCTTCTCTCACCCGTTTCCCGGATGAGTCTAAAGAGTTGCCTGGTGTTGCCTATCCTCGAAGCTTTTTCCATCTCTTTCGCCTTTGTTACCCACCACTGTTCACGGTCCTGGAGAGCATTGGACAGTGCCGTTAAATCTTATGTTCACAGTGACTCTGCGAGTTAAATGAGCTCCAATTTTCACTTAAGCTCTGTTTATCCTATTGCAGTGAGGAATGTTGACGTCAGATATTGACTATTATTGGGCATTGTTGAAAATCGTCACTGACTAAGAGATTCGAAACGTGTGCTACTCATGTGTGCACAAATTAATACGTGTATCATCTTGATTTGTTTTTTCTGTCTTTGCAACACAGATATTTTAAGAAGCAAGGTATGGTGTAATTATAGCTATAGAGCTCCTCATAGATTTTATGTGGCCTCTTCCAAAACGTAAAGGAAAATGCTCATTAGTACGTTTGCTAAGTTGTCTAGTTGTTCCCCACAGGAGCAACTAAATTTGTAGATACGCATAGAAGTGGTACAGCTAGGTAGCTTGTCTTTCGTTAGAGTAAAGCCTGCAGAAATTTGGCTATTTGGTCTTCGATATTTTTCTTATCCGTTAGGATTAGTGAATAAGGGACTGTGAGAGTAGGTTCCAAGTAATAAAAGTTAACACTCTTGTCAGTGACGCGAACTTTTGCAAATACGTAATTGTGAATTCTCTGAAGCAAAAGTAAGGTGATTAGACGGAAATTTGGCTATTTGGTCTTGGTTGTGTGCGGAAATCGCGTCTTATTGTCGAGGCTAAATAAATAATCAGACTGTTGACAAGAGAGTGGCACTGTCAGTCACTGTAGTCCTGACTGACTGCAAGTGTAAGTTTCGGTCAGTTGCGTATACGTGGACCAAAAACTCATTTTAAAAGCATTAGATCATTTATAGTAAACCACTAAATCAGAGCTTTTATCACTTTAAAATCGTTTATTGTGTTTTCTCTCACAGTTTTTTCTAATGCATTTTAGGTGCATGGAAGAATACCCTTATTGTGTGAAAAACATTTTTGCATACAGTTCATTCTCAGCGGGACAACTATTGTGCACCACTCAACCTCTGATGCAACAAGCGAATGGAAGTCTCTTAACTTTATCGGGATTTCCTCCATACCAGTCACCGCATAATTCGTCACTAGAAGGTCCATGCGGAACCAAAAACTCGGCACCAAACAGTACCTCATGTTGATTTCTGTAAATGTGTTCATTAGGTCCCTCAGCTGATACTCTGAAAACGTCATTATGCGAAGTAAATTTGGAGGACGTCCCAATGGAACTTGTTACCTCTGAGGAAGACTGTAAATCTGAGTATACTGACACTTCCCTATCAACATGCACTGATTCCGTGGACGATTCAGTTGTTGAGCAAGTAGGTGTATGGTGTTTAATTATTTCTAATTTCTCAAGCGTACTACAGAATTGGATGAAATCGAACTCAGAAGTCGCGCCCTAAGGAGTATGCTTTTACAGAAGAAAACTACCACAATAGATGCAGCACAATCAAAACCTGAAATTCTATCTAGTCATGATGTATCCACGATCAAGTATGATCATTCGAAAGTTGAGATATCATGTGACTCAACTGCAAGACAAAGACAAAAATTTGTGATAACTTTGAATGATTCGTCTGATAGTGATGACTCACTTACTTACTCTGTCGGGGCTGTTTTTAAGGGTACAAAAGCCAATAATTCTGCAAATGAATCCTCTAATGTTGTAAACGCTAGTAATAACTCATCAAAAATTAGTCGTTTTCACCAAGAAGAGAAATTGTTGTTAGAACGTAGAATGGAGCTGCTCAGATTTAAATTAACAGTTAGGCGACAACAGCATTTAATTGATGAGCGACGTAAAATCGTTCGAAAATTGTCAACTACCTTGTCAGAACTTCGTAAGCGTATCAAAGCTACCACTTCGTTGTACAAAGAAGCTAATAAGTCTCTACAGAAAGCTCAGCGTACAAATGCCGCTTACCAAAGGAGACTGGCCACAGCCCAAAAGTTATATTCTGATGCGCTTAACTCCGTAAATCGTTCTACTGCTGATGTAATTAAAACAGGCTTTGCGCTTTCTTCTGTGAATTTGCGCAGAGATCTCATTGTTCTGTCCCTCGATGTCCTACAAAGAGCCAAAGTTGTCACGTGGTTTCTTGCACACTACAGGCTCGACTCGACAGCTATAAAATGCAATATAGAATGTGTTAAACCATCTTCTGAATCAAAAAATGAACCAGAGACTCCTAATGTGCTTGATCCATTTCGACCAGTATGCCCATTTTTTCTAAATGGTGAATGCTTAGATAAAACATGCATATATCAACACTTCCAAAGTTCAACTAATCAACCTAAAGCCAAATCAAACAGTTATCCACGTTTACCTACAAAAGGAGGCTTGGTTTCTCCAATATTTGATTATGAGCAAAGAGGGAAGTATGATGATAAACTTTTTTGTGAATTGTGTGGCGAAAATCTGGTCACATCTTCATCTGATTCTTGTCAGACACCAGCATTACAACGTTGGCATACGACTTATCTAGCCTACTTGTGTTCAAAAACAAAAAAACAATTCTATGATAAATTATTTAGTGACTTCAAGGAATGCAATGCAGATTTATGTGCACACTTGATATTCGGACTTCTGCTGAATCCCAGCTCAGATAAATTACCGGTTGAAGACAAAATTGTTAACTGTTTGAAATCATCTGATTTCCCTTTAGACGCCCTCAAGACAGTATTACGGCATCCTCGTATTAGTATACCTATTCGAAAGTCAATTATGAAGACTTCTACCGAATACTTAGTTTTGCAATTTCAGCAAGACGACAATCAGAGCTCAAATATCGAGTCATCTTTCATATACCTCATTTATCAGAGATGCCTTCTTGAACAAGAAGTTGGTTCACTTGATAAAGTGGGGATCATATTAATAGATATTTTACAGGCGCTACCTAAAGAGAGCAAACTTATCTTTGTATTGTGGTGGTTGCGTTTACATCACCAATTGATTGGTGTCTTGCCCCCGGAAAATCTATCATCCACTGCGAATATGCCATACTTCTCCAAATCAGTTCTCTTATCCAGTCAGGAGTTAATTGAAGCAGCAGTCATTGAAACGGGTATTTCCGAAAACTTATCCAAATTGTTAGAATTATTTTCAAGCAACAGCAGTAGTAGTACTATATTCACCTGCTTTCTTTCTGTTGTCCATCTGTATATACAAACTCTAAATGCGAATTCCAAATTTAAAGTTGCCGCAGATACAGCGCTTTCTGTAGCTTTGTTCTCTACTGACTATGTAGATGATTTATTCTTCCCGTCTGCAGTATATTCTCTATTCTGTTTGGATTCTTCTCTTGATTGGACAGCGATGATTGCTAGTATACCTGATAAATTAAGGGTGAATATTAAGTTGGAGCACCGCATAGAATTTGGATTCTTGTTAACATGTCTGAATTGGCGTAAAAAACCATTGGGCTCTATGGAATCTCATCTTATTGAATGTTTAGGCAACTTAATTTTTCTTCCTAAAGATGACAATGAAAGTATTATTTCGGCGTATAAAGATTTGTTGAACATAGCACCTATTGACACTAGTGTGAACAATCTTGAGCTCGGTCCACGAAGTTCTACGTATTTGTGGCTTAGCTATTCTTTGTATATTTTTCTACATTCCCTAGATTATCGTGCAGCTATGGACCAACTATTGGTGCACTACAAATCATGCCTTGAAACCTGGGGAAATGAAGCCAGAAATCATACTTTCATTCGTCTGTTAGCTTTAATGATTATATTTTTGGCGAATCACTTAAATCAAAGTGATAATTTGACCTACTTTAATATAATAAGGTCACTATTTATAGATAATCCTTTACAACTAAATCGTCAGGTGCTTCCAACTTACTTTTTTGAGTTGGTTCAACAAATTAATGTAGGTATTCTTCCCCCTGGAATCCGTAGTGATATGTGTGTGCAGCTTGTCGAAACATATGGTTCACGTCTGGTCCCTTCATTATGTAGAACTTTGTGTGCTGTAGGTGATCATTTCTTGGCTCAAAGCTTATGTGCGATTGGATGTCTAGACAAACCTGACGACGAAGACTTTTGGCTTTTATATGCATCCATTTCATTTAATACCCTATCTCGTACGAAGTCATCTGAACAACTATCAACTCTTTTGGAAATTCTGACAAAAGCGACCACAATAGTAACTTCTAGCTGTCGTCTATGGAAATATTATGCGCTTGCTGTTCGGATTGCAAATGTTTCCGTAGGACCAATAACGAATCGTGCCAAATCTGCTGGGATGTACGAGGTTATTTCAAGTGGCTTAAAAGAAGATATTCCCACAAGCTTATTATCAGCAGCTGGATTTCTGTGCAGTGAAAAATCTGACAAGAAAAAGTTCAATTAAACATCGAAAGTAAGTCTTACGCTACTTTAGATGAGTAGTTTTAAAGCACTATCGTCCTGTGGACGCAGTGTTACATTCAACGTCGATAATTGATTTCATTTAATGCATATATGTCCAATTTTTTTATCCAATTCAGTGATTTGCTGTAGTTATTTCAACAAAATTGATCGGCACATCAGTCTACTCTCTACATCAACTATTCCCTAATTAATTTTAGGTAAATCCATCAACATAAACCACTGATAGTCTGCGAGCATAACCGTGCAAATATGACAAGATAAAAGAAACATTGCTGGAAAATGCAAGTGAAAATATATGCAATCAAAACATTTTACTTATATTCTCAGGTATTCATTTTCTTTGCTTTATATATCGCCATAGTCCCTATGATTGGTAATTACCTCAGATCAACAGTTGAAAACTTCATAGGTTTTCATATTTTAATAGCTCTCCTGGTATTTGTTTATCTTTTGTGAAAACAGATGCACCGTCGCAACTAGGCGGTATCTGTTGTCTCATAGAAGTGTTGCTGTAAGTCAAAAATGTACATAAATTACTGGGTTCACTCAATTCCTAAGATATTTCAACACTATCTAGGACAATAATAATACTCTACAACTGGCTAACTGACTGAAGAATCAACGTAGAACTTCGCACAATATGACTTTTCAAGGTAATATATGTCATAAGTGTACCTGTGCCATAATGATCGAGTTCGAACCACATCATCTGGTCTCCAGTCTTCGGTTCCGAATAACTGGTGAGCGAAGACAGAAAAATCACTATAGGACTTTTTATGGGAATAATCCAGTTCAATTCACCATACCCAAATAGCACTCTTAAGAAGAAACTGTTGTCAAGATCAAACATGAGGTTTGGAGGAGGCCTCTTCATCATAAGTTGTCGGACTTTATGAATTTGTGTCACTTAATATATTTTTTCCATATAGTCCTACCCAAAATAACGTAATTCACAGTAATTAGCACGACTAGCAAAGAATCAAAACACCTACCGTGAACCTCATATCTTCTATACTATAAGCATAAATTAGACGATTGTATAGATGGGGATTAAATGACCAACGGCTGTGACTTATTACTAGTGAATGTATATAGTAAAAAATGAACAATTGGGTTATACTTTTCGGTTACGTCATATCCCGGTGAAGATTTTCTGTTACAGCATCGGGGAATTGTGATAGCACAATACTGACTTTCATATTCTGATTAGGTGTGTAAAGTTGTAAACAGATTACATTTGTCTCTTTTATTCACTTTATCCAAGCTAGTTGATTAGTAATTTATGGTTTCACTCAATAATTCATCGATAAGAGTAATTATTAAAAATAGAATCATTTTTAAAATTTTTAATTCAATTTCGAAACACAAGTCATCAAATAGATTTCTTTTGGTAACTTCACAATTATACAAGGAGTTTATATATGCAATGCTAATTGACAACAGTTGTCAAGGTCACCGTGCATTAGTAACAGAATACATCAAAATGTGTGAGTAATGACAATGATTGGAAAATTGTGAATAATTTTATATAATAGGGAGGGTTGGCAACTAATTAGCTAAGTGACAAATAATCATTTGAAAGTAATTTGTAGGAAGCAAAAAAAACAAGGAATTAAAAGTGAGTTACAAAGATAAAATTAAAAGAAAACAAATAAGACTGAAAAATAAGAAGGATCACGTCGAGTGTATCCTACAAGACTATTCGGCAAAAGGAAAATTTATCCAGCCTCTTTACTACCGTGGGTCTTAGTGTCAATTTCAGTTTTTTCGAATAGTTGTATAGTGAACTCTATGTGGTCCGTTTTATTTCTCATTTTTATGTGTTTATTTTCGTTACCCTTTTTTAATCTTCTTATCAATTGTTTCCAAATGATTATTCATCCATTAGCTAATTAGCTGCCAACGCTCCCCATTACAAGGAGTATTCACTGTGATTACACAGCACATTGCTATTACTCATTCACTGGGTCAGCAAAAGAGTACACACATTTTGAGGTAGCAGATGTGTATGTGCATGTTCTCATATGTGTAGGGTTGCGAAATCTCTTTCAAGAACAATTTCTTTGAGTGGTAAAAAAGAAGCATAGTTGTTATGCTTTCTTTGATCCTCAAAAAGCCTAGTGTTGAGTAATTTAAGTTTGAATATGTTAACTGGAGCCAAGGTTTCGAGATTTTGCTACCACTATTTTAAGGCAAACAGAGCATTTATTTATTTCATACATTTGGTTCCCTTGATGAGTTTCAAAAAACAAGGAAAGACCAGATTAGCAATATACAGTGGAATCACTGTGCGTCGGTGGCACAGCGGTATAGTGCTCATCGACCACACAGGTGGTCCGGGGTTCGGTCCCCGGCCGACGCACTCCTTTACCTCGTCAAGTCAGTAATAAGACTGGTAAAGAGGGAAGGTTGGGCAAGAGGCTAGTAACCGCATCCTGTAAAAACTAATCACCACTGCTACAGAAACTTCAAGCCTCTAGCTTGAAGCCCTGTTCCACGTGGAACGCAAAGGGATAAAAAATGGTATGATTCTATTCCACAGGCTCTCATCAACTGCAAACTACCTGGAATTACAATGGTTATATTGCAATGAAATTAGCATACTTCAGTGTTTGAATAGTAAAGAATACATTATAAAATCAACGCATCCGAAATATAACCATTACAATTCGTCTTAGTTTGAGTTGCCATCAATTTATATGCTTTCAAAATAGAAAAGGAGGGTGGGGGAGAAGATAGAAAATCTAATAAACAGTGTTAGCATGTAGGTTTACATAGCAACTCAAAAAGATTATAGTTCATAAGATTGAAAACCTGCTCATTGAGTTGAAATCACTAATAAGTAAGACTAATCAATGTTATCGAAATGCAGTTACCAAGGAAGTGACAGAAAGATTACACTCTCTTTATGTATGCATAAGTTTGGTTTGAGGTGTTTGATTGCAGCCGCTTCAGCAAATAGTAATGAATTTGCTGTCCTTTGTATGTTTAATGTTTTGAGGAATTTGGGAATCGTGGCGAAATGACCCGTATCCATGAGGTGTCTGGTAATGTTGATTGTGTTTAAACAACTATCACTTACGATGTATAAATTGACATACCGATTTTCTTTTGCCCATGAATCAACAACAGTAAGCCATAATCCTGTTCCGATGACCATGTTTTTATGGGCGCCTTTACTTGATACAGTTTGTCTTTTTTTTCTATGAGATAGGACGCTATGCAGTGTCGGTTTAATTTTTAAAAAATGCCTTCAGCATTGTACCTCACCTTGTTGGAATTCTTATTCCAATAGTACTGATTTGTTTTTGTTCTGTTATTGTTGGACGCAACTATTATTTATAAAAGAAACATGCGTAAAATTCTTATCAGCACGTTCGGTTTAGTTCATTATTATTATTGTTGTAATGATGATATTAATTATTTTTGTTTTCATTATTATTGCAATCATTATTAATATTATTTCTGGCATCTTTGTTATTATGTGCTCATATATTTTTTCGTTACAGTGTTTTCGCCCCATCCCGTAACTGTTCTGTATAAATTTTAGGAAACTTTGCCACACATGTATACTGATGAGAACACCATATATATGTACATATGCTTATTGATTTTTGCTTATTTGGTAAGTTTGTCGGTCAAATATGGAGCATGACAATCAACTGAATTCCGCCAATTGTACAGTTATAACTAAATATATTTTTTGCAAATAATAAAGTTTTTAGCTTAATTATCCGTTTTCACTTTCACTTTCGATTTTCTCCCGTAGATCATTAAAGTCAACAAGAGTGTTCCAACTAGTACAGCATCATAGTTCAAAGACTGCTCCCTTCTACTGGAGTTTGCATAGCAAAGTAGTGGTAGTAACTTTCATAGAATAACCTCATGATTCAGTATCCAGTGGAAAGTATGCACGCAGTTGCTCAGGCATAGTGCACGTAGTGACCGTTTAAGCTGACGCCTGTTCGTGAAGCCAAGTGTTACTTGCGTCAAGAAGAATCAGATATTGAAAGAACTAAGATTAAATGTGTTTTGCTCTCGTAAGCCATACATTCTAATCAGTTCATATTTATTATAACTTCTATGGAATGTATGCATCTAGATAACTCAGGTTGTAGGTTTCAGGGAAACCGAATGAATTACTGACTCCAGAGTACGGAAAACTTTTTCAGTGGATATAAATAGGATGAAAAAACTGTAAGAGTAGACTTTTCACTTCCGAGGAAGTCGTCTGAAGGGTACAATCTTCAAATATCAGTCTTCATTATGGACGGCACTTTTCCCACAGATATGTTTCTAATTTGTAATTAATATAAAATAGCAGGTCCGAACACTAGCCGCACCAGTGAGAGAATCATTGGAAAACGAGAGAGTATTGGACAACTGTTTCATCCTACCTTGGAACTCTGCAGCAGTACACGACCTCACCGCAGTTCGGAGCCAGGCAAATTTATAGACCATTCAGCTACTGCGACCCGGTCCCATGCCCTATGAATCCCATTTTCCGCCAATTCGGAATAGGTAGCGCAGCCGCTAGCCAGTGTCATCGACGAGTAATAGTCCTTTGACCTGATGTGGCGGACTTCGCTGGTCACAACTTCTCGCTAATCGATGTTTATACGAACGTATTTCAGTTTGAAGTAGCAACTTTGTCTTTCGTTTCATGAATATACACTAAGTTACCATGGCAGATTATGGAAGGATAACTCTATCTGTTTGCCATGTATATTGCAAATGATCAAAGCTTCGGCGCTATATATATATATATATATATATATATATATATATAGTTACATACTTTATAACTCTTTTACACAAAAAGATTACGAGGATTTAAACAAGTAGGCTTTGTGCGTAAATGAGACTATCGAATAACAGCGAACAGGATAACTGCATCCCATAGTTATATTTCATAATTCACACTGTCAAATTTGCACGAGTCTAATCGGAGTTCCGCATATAGATAAAATAGTTCAATTTACAGAATAAGGTATGAATACATTAGTGTTTACTTCCTCACGCATTCGATATCCTTGCCTGTAATTAATTAACATAAGGATAACCAATAAAATTGCAATGAATCATTTGAATTGTAAGTATTCATTTAACGTGTTACTGGCATCCCTTATCATCTATGCTGAACTTACTAGTTATTCACAAATACTGATGGTTTCTTTATGATTAGCTGTTAGATTGACTTT